ACACACACACACACACACAGACACACACACAGCAAGGGCACGGGGGTGGGGAGGGGGGGGGGGGGTGAGCAGAAGTGCTCTTTGAAAATTCTCGCCTGATGTGAACAGGGGAGCAGCGGGCAGCACGTGAATTTTGTGACCAATCTGCTTCACGGCTGATGTGAACCAGGCGTGGTACTGAAATGGGACAGAACTAAATTTCTGTTCTAGTAGCACCATGCCTCTTTTCTGAACAGTACAAACTTTAGCACTCATATCTTACTGGCTTTATCATGTCATAGCTTTACTATGTTTTCATTAATGATGTCTGATATGATTGGTCTGCCGTTAAAATTGGCCCAAAAATACTGGTATCGAGTTTTACTCTTAATGACCCAACCTTTACACACCATGCACATATTATAAAGCAAAGTCTTCAGCTACTTCTCCTCTCTCTCAAAATGGCAAAATATGACAGATCTGTTGTAAAGCTTTTAACAGATTTGAGTTTGGCACAACTTAAGTACAAATTGTAGCTATGTGTAGCTAGACAGCTAGAAACCAACTAAAACAAATGCAAGATTCTTCACCCAAGGCTTACTTTTCCTATCTGAAATGATTATAAATGTTTTATTGTCATAGCTGCAGAAAATATACATTATTACTTTTAATTCACACTAAACATATAGCTGTAGGGTTTTGAAACACCAAAAGAGAAGCCTTACCTTTTACTCAGAGGTATACATTCTCCCAATGATTTGGATTGGGGTCATAGCAGTGAGCTGCCCACAGAAGTGCCTGACTTTTAATCAGAGGCTTACTGGCCAATGATGGTGATGAAAAAATGACAAAAATCCACCCAACTAATCAGCCAACTGATTAATCGGTCAACCCCTACTTCGAAGGTTTTGTCTTAAAATTCGGTAAGATGTGCTCTTATGGCAGTGTGAGCGTCCTGTCACAGTGTCCTGATTGATCATGCGCCCTGGCTACTTGGCCAAGGGGATGTCCCTTTGGCTGACTGGTTAGCGCATGTGACTCTCACCCGCAAGTCTGGGGATCAAATCCCGCCCGGGCCCTTGTTTCTCCACCTTGCCGTACTCTTATAAATTTGCTGAAAATTTTTCTGCATAAGGTCTTGCTCTACACAAGCAAGAATTTAAGTGCTAGACTCTAACAAAACAAAAAGTTAACAAAAACTTTACCCAGTAAAGCAAAAACTCTAATTAATAATAAGAGTCTGTGTTTATGACACATCCTTGCTTGTTTAAATATTTGGCTCGACCCTACAACAATCGTCCTAGGACACTCGTACAATATACTTAATATTTCTGTGTCTTGGATTTGTTTTAAGACACTTTTTAACCATCTTTCACTTAGACTAGTCATTAGCTTCTCTGTTTAATTAGAACTGTATCTCCAAACTGATGATCAAATAACTAATAAAGTTTAGAACAGAGTTGCTCTCCCAGTGGATCAGCTTCTAATAACGAGAACAAATCGTCCATAGGAGCTCTGTGGGCCTCATATCTCACATGGAACACGTGAAACTGTGAAAATCTGCTTTGTAAAAAATCTCCCCAAATTAGTAAACTAGAATTTGATTGGAGGCGTTGAACAAAAGTAGACACACATCCAGACTAAAATATGCCACTTTATTCACATTTTTCTATAGATTCTATTTATAATATCAATCAATCAATCAATCAAATTTTATTTGTAGAGCACCTTCCACAACGTTACCGGAAGCCCAAGGTGCTAAACAGCATCATCATAAGAAAAACATTCCCAGTACATGGGCATAAAAGCAAGATAAAAACATAAAATCATAAAATATCAAGCAAACACTATTACAAATAAAGAGAGATAACGGAAATAAGACTAATCGATCAAAAACAAATGGTGGACAAAATCAAATCAAGCATCTGGGTTAAAAAGAAGAAGAATTAAAACCATAATGTCAGGGCAATTCAAAGAACCCTAGCGCTAAAACGCAATCAAATAAAAATGAGTCTTTAAACGAGACTTAAAAACGTGAAGGGATGGTGCCTGCCTAATGCTCAGTGGCAATTTGTTCCACAGAGTTGGAGCCAGAACAGACAAAGCACGACAACCCCTCGATCGATATTTCGACCGGGGGACCACTAGAAGTTCCTGCTCGGCTGAGCGAAGAGACTGAGACGGAGCATACCTCTGCAAAAGTGCAGTAATGTACGAGGGGGCACTGGAGGGCCTTATAAACGAGAGTTAAGATTTTAAACTTAGCTCGATATTGTACCGGGAGCCAGTGCAGACCTTCCAGCACTGGGGTAATGTGCTCTCGACATCTAGTGCCTGTAAGGAACCTAGCCACAGAGTTCTGCACAAACTGGAGCTGTGCAACCGCGCACTGGGCCAGACCAGCATACAGAGCGTTGCAGGAGTCCAGCCGGGACAGGACGAAAGCATGCAACACAGACTCCATATGAGCTCTGGACAGCAGAGGTCTGATCCTGGATAGTCTTTTCAGGTTAAAGAAACAGGACCTCACCACTGTATTTACATGAGTGTCAAGATTAAGTGATGAGTCGATTTTAATCCCCAAATTACTGACCATTTTCTTTTCATAGGGGGTCAATGGGCCAAGGTCAATATCAGCACCAGAGCTATTTCTTCTGCCAGGACTAAGTATTATGACTTCCACTTTGCTCTCATTTAGGTGCAAACAATTAGAAGCCATCCAACATTTTATGTCCTTCAAACAATCCAGTAAAGGAGAAACAGATCTATCCTCCCCATGTCGAAGAGGGAGATAGATCTGGCAGTCATCAGCAAAAAAATGAAATTTCATATTATGCTGGCGAAGGAGGACTCCAAGAGGAAGCAAATACACTGCAAATAGGAGAGGACCAAGAACAGAGCCCTGTGGCACACCCCAACGAAGTTTCACGCTGGGTGACGTCACCTCACCCATCTGAACACTAAATGTCCTGTCTTGATTTCTTCTTCTCTTTTTATTGATCTGTCTTGAATTGCAGCTGTCTGTCCTGTCAGTCACAGCTTTTGTTGTGTTAACAGGAGTGCACCCCCCCCCCCCCCCCCCCCCATCCCCCCTCCAACAAGGCCCTTGTTGCTGAAGTCTCAGTCAAAGATTCCTTTGATTGGAGCATCTGGTTGGAATATGATCACGACTGGGTTGGCCTCGGTACGTCACCATGACGATCACACTAAGTACCATTTAGATTAAGAGCTGCACACTTGTGCTCCTCACTCTGGTCACGACCACAAATGAGTGTCAAAATTACATATTGACCATCTTACAGTAGTTGTTTTATTTCTGTTTCAGACGCTCATCAACCACCTCTGGTTTGGAAAGAGCCTGAAAGAGGTGGTTGCCCCTGCTGTTGTTTATGTTTAGTCTAATAATTCAGCAGTGTTTGAGCCAGGTTTTGATGAGGTAAACCATTCAGGTGTTAACATGATCAAATAACACATTATCCTCCTTTTGTCTCATGAGAATTTCCTCCCTAATTTTCTCCTCAGGATGTTATTGAGACCCTTAAATTTCGAGGACACAATCGTGAAGTTTCAGACTACTTGAGTGTGGTTAACGCTGTGGAAAAGGTGGACGGCTGCATTTACACAGTGTCTGACAAAAGAAAACACGGAGAGGCTGCTGGTTATTGAGAGCAAGTCAGTAATGCAGATTTAAAAAGTCAACAGAAGGATTTTGTCACATACACCCTTTTTTGCAAGTTGCATGTTTGTTTTACTGGTAAGAGAGCATTTATTCGTCCCATTTTAAAGCGAATTCATGTGCTAATAAATTCCATGACATAGTAGGCAGTGTCATTAAGGTGATGTCCTCATGTCAATGGTAATGCATTTTGTACCAGAAATCCTCTCCTCTATACAGTAATCAGAGCAAAGGGTAGCTTTTTTGAAGAAAATAGAATATAAAACATGTTTTCAGTTTTTGGTTAAGTACATGTGTTCACTCCTAGTTTTGATGCCTCAAGTAACCGATCTTCCTGTATTCTCTGCATGTAACCCCTCTGGTTACTGCAGTAGTAGCATTCCAACAGAGCCAGGTTTTTTCTTCTCACCCATTTCCATCTTGTTCCAGTATCCCACTTTTCATCAGCGTGTTCTGGTCCCCCAGCAGCTGATGCAGACCTTGGGCAACGTCTGAGGGCCAAATTGGGTTAGATAACAGGGAATGCACACACTGAAACATTTTAATGTTCAGGTCAACAATTTTAATTTGTTTTATTTTAGCTAAATATGCACTGAATGTAAATGAAAGAAATAGACAATAAAGAAAAATGCAGATTTGTGTCATTATTATGATTGTTATTGCTGGTATTATTATTATTGTAATGGTGTATAAAGCAGATAAAAGAGATGCTCACTGAAACACTGCATGTTTCTGAGTAAAATGCTCTTAGTAGAGAAAGATGAAACTGTTAGGCCCAGGACCAGAGAGCTTGAATCAAGAAACCATATTTAAGCAACGCTGTGAGTAAAACTCTCCATGGGGGGATTTTTTAAACATGATGGGGTGTGTTCATTATGAGTGTTGCTCCTGGAATAAATAAGATTTGAAACTGTTAATAGAGAGGTGCCTTCACACCAGCGTCTAATGCAACGGTCTGGACATCTGGAACTTGGTGTTTTAGTAGTTATACAGTCAGAGGTGAAAAAGAAAAGATCAGACGATACAAACCTGATGATTTTTGTGGGGTAGGCGGTGTCTTCCTGTCACGTGGTATTTGGACCCCACGGGGTGTGACAGTCACACTGTGCCCTGACCTTATAGGAGCCACCTGTTGCAAATGCCACATTACCATGTCTGGCCGCATGAACAAAAGGTTGCCCGAACAGGATCTTGAGTAGGGCTTCATCCAACGACCATCATGCACTTCACTGGCAAACTGTGGCAGCTGAGGCATTTCCCTCAAATGATTTGCCTACTCGTAAACAAACCTTTTCCTTGCCGATCCACATACTGCAACAGTTCAGAGAAAAAAAGACACCACTGCTGAGCTTAGAGTGAATCTTTTACTGGGAGTCATTTGGCATGGAACAAATATACAGAGAACACAACACAGAAGAGTTAAACAGACAAAACACAAAGCAAGTAGACACAGGAGCTTTGTCCATTACAACATTCAAATGAAACATTCCACGTTAATGGTGTCTACTCTAAATAACATTTACTGAGCTATTTTCCTCCTTATTGCATTATCCAATCAGCCACACCTACTTTTTTATCTACTGCTCAAACCAGCTACCAGAGGTCGTTGGGCTCAGCTTCATAATTACTGATTATTACAATTACGGAGTCAGACGAGACACAAAACTCCAAAACTAGTATGCGAATAATTACGGAAGCAACTGTTACAAACACATAACACAGATTAACACATTTATTATACATCTGGTGAAATTTTAGTGATCCTTCTAACAATCATCAGCCATGAGACTGATGTCCTTTTAGGACATCTGCCAGTCTCAAGAGAAAATCTTCAGACTTCAAACCAAACAGCCTCAGATGGCAGGATTTAAAAGGAAAAAGCACCAGAAATCAAGAAACTACAGATAATTAAAAGCTTTATTTTTCTGATCCCTGTTGTTTTTTAATATCTAAAGTCTGACATCTGAGACCATTTTTTTGTTGTTTGACACAAAGATGTGCTAAACGACACGATGAGAGTTAAATTAGCAGGTTCTGCTTTGCAAATGTTTAAGTATGAGCAATGTACGCAGAGTATATGCAAGGGTGAAAGAGAAATGCTAACGCTACAGTGCCTCGAAGTGGTCTGCACTGTTTTGCTCATCCCATTTCTTCCTTATGTGCCACTACAGACACTATAACAGATAGATAACAGTCAAAAAACACAGGGTCACTGATGTACAGCAACATCAGACAGAAACAACAACACCTGTAGAAACAAATGGCAGTAAAAGGTCATTTGGGCACTGCTTTAACTCAGTGAACCAAATCAAGTTAGTGTTAGTGTCATGAATGCTTAAGAGACTGTGTTTATCACATAAGCATCTCAACAGTTAGAAAGAGATGAATCGCTTTGGCGAGTACAAAAACAATCAGTGACAGCTATTCATTGTCAAGCCCTACTTGTTGCCTTCTAAGATTGCTTTGTTCTCTAAAGTGCGCAAAAAAAAAAACTGTGGAAACACAACAGATGTTTTGTTTGGTGTCCTCACTTTCCATCTACACCGGAGCATTCACAAGTGAACATTTGGAATGGGGGGGGGGACCCGCAAAAAGTCGACCAAGCACTTTTGCCGGAGTCACGTGGTGGCGTGCCGGCTGTATAGTCTGTTGAACTTGTGTCATAGCTTTTGTTGAGAGATTAACAGAGAACACACAATGTGGAGCTAGGCCCTCTGCCCGACAGAGACATTCTCAGTCCTGGTAGACAACCCAGAGGGACCATCACTTTCCAAACTAACTTCAGCTCCTCTTCAGCTGCTGCCGGGATGCGACTCCTTCATCCAACCCTCTGATATAAATCCTTTTGAAACTGGCTCCTTGGCTGCCACTGTCACACACACACACAGAGAGAGTGACAGAAAGAGGGACCACTGGTTCATTAACTCTTCCAGCCCCCCTCCAATGAAACCGCATCTTATTCCCAAGAGCACCATCCACCAACACAGTAAGTTTGCCTCCACTTCAATGTCACTGTCTTGTGTGGGTTAACTCAGAGATGGTTAGGAGTAGCTTGGTAGCCGTGTTGGGCCTCTAAAGGTGACTGGGCTCGTAGTGAGAGGGCAAGAGGGAAAAGGAGGTAACTGAGTGCTGTGGGACATCATTTCAACCACAGCTGAAGAAATCTTGGACAGGAAGCACTCCATCACCTCTCACAGTAGTGAAGAGTGAAATTTTTGGATAATTGCTTCTCCCCTAAACCCCACGGCTCCAACTCAAATTTACACTCCACATCCTCCTCCTCTTCATTCTCTTCCTCTACGTCCTCCTCTTCTTCCTCCTCATAGTGGCTGGGCTCCTCAATAGAGGTCTCAAGGTGGTAAGAGTAAGGCTGACCCTCTGTGTATTCGTAGATTGTTGGCAGACTGCTCTTGAGGCTGCAGCGCCGACGCAGGGCAACCAGCAGCGGCTGAGGCATGGTAAAAATATCCACGTTGTTGCCCAGGTCGATCCACGCCAGGCTGGAGAACTTTTTGGGGTCTTTGAGCATTTCAGTGAGGTCTTTGAGTATAGCCAGGGTAAGTCGGTTCCCATTCAGAGCCAGAGTACCGAGTTTGGGTAGGGAGGCAAGAAGAGGCAGGAGGAGCCTCAGGTTGTCATCACTGAGTTCGGTGAAGCTGACGTCTACGGCCACTAAACTGTCCCTGTTGTTTTGGACATAGAAGGCAACTTGTCGGACGTCACGAGTGGACAGAGGGATTCCAGACAAGTCAATGCTGTCGCCGGACAGCTTTTTCTGCAGAGTTGTCTTCAGGCTGTTGAGTAACATGAGAAGAAAGACTGGAATTATTAAATGACCTTTCAATATGTACTTGCAACAGAAGTTTAAAATACTAGAGGGTTACACATCTTTAGCTGAGCCGTGGATGCAGTAAACACATCGTGGTATGGTGGATTCAGAGCAGAGGGCTGATTCAGAGTCTCCAGGATGAGGATTTAGGAGCCAAAATATCTGAACAAGTCAGCAGCTTAGGTTTAAAGCCGAAAGAACCGGAAGCCAAAACGTTGTGGAAGACGAGGATTTACCCACACTCTGGCGACATTGGGCTTTTTTATTTATATAAAGAAAAGAGATAAAATAAATATATGTAGGTTTTGCAAGATGTCCTCTGATGACACCTGTCAAAAAATGAAACAACGCCATCCATTTAGGTTATTTACTTATTTTAATCAAATATTGAGCATTTTTTCTATTTATTTAGACTTTTGCACCAGTGATGAAAGAAAAGCAGTAAACCAGCAGTGTTATTTGTAGCTTCTATCTGTAAGTAGTTGAAATCAGTTATTATGAACATTTTTTAAGCCTGTGATAAAATGATGCTAATGGGTGCATTTGTTTAGTAAAGCTCAAACATAATCAGGCAGAGCGAACAGGTAGCCATTTTAATTGTTTTTTCTTCTAATTATTTGGTCAGTTGTCACACAGCCCGATCCTCTCCAGTCTCTTCTTGCGTCTCCTTCCAGCTGCCCTCCACAAGGAGAGGAACATCTGCACGCCTTCGGCTGAGCTTGGTGTTGTTCCTGCTGCCCCGCTCCTACCTCTCTCAGCTACACTCCTCCTTTCTATAATATGCTATAAAATAAGTTTTCTGATCCAAGAGAAATCACTCAAATATATAAACACTAAACTGCAAGTCAGAATTATGATTAATAAAATAATGAAAGGCTAATCAGATAAATAGTTCACATTGCTTCACATTTGATTGATGTTAAGAGAAGAACTCATTTTTTAAGCTTTAAATCATCACTAGTGCAGTATTAGCTCCCAGCATTCCATAAATCAGACTAAGGAAAGGTTCTATGTTGCCATACATACACTGGCCACTTTATTAATCACAACTTAAAAGGGCTGGAGCACATTCTGCCTTCAGAACTGCTAGATTCAACAAGGTGTTGTGAAGGTTCCTCAGGAATTCTGGTCCATATTAACAGGACAGCATCACACAGTTCCATCCAGGATGAGATTCCTCTTCCTATTCCACCACATCCCGAAGGCTATGGACTGGATTGAGATCTGGTGATTGTGGAGGTTACCGGAGTCCAGTGAACTCCTCGTCATGATCAGAAAGCTAGTTAGAGATGATCGGAGCTTTTTGACATGATGCATTATCCTATTGGAAGTAGCTGTCAGAAGACGGGTCTACTGTGTCTTAAAGGGATGGACGTAGTTACAAACAATAGGCTGTTGTGTTTAAACCAGGCTCAATTGGTAAACAAGGCTCAATTGGTACTGGAGGACCCAAAGTGAGTCAAGAACCTTTCCCCAAAACCATCACACTAGCAGCAGGAGCCTGAACACTGATACAAAGCAGGATGGATCCATGCTTTCATGTTGCTGACACCAAATTTTGACCCAACTATCTGAATGTTGCAGCTAATATCCAGACTCATCAGACTAGGAAAGGTTTTTCCACTTTCCTGTGGTCTAATTGTGGTTATCCTGTGTGTTCCTACTCTAAGGTGACAGGAGTGACACCTCGTGTGGCCCTCTGCTGCTGTGGTCCATCTGGAGAAAGGTGCTGTGGTTCAGAGATGTTGTTCTGTAGACTGTGGAAGGAACCAGTGGTCATTTAAGCTGCTGTTGCTTTTCTGTCATATAGAATCGGTCTCCTCAGAACATTCTCCTCTTACCTCAATGAGACATTTTCATCAACACAGCTGCTGCTCACTGGATATTTTCTCTACTCCAGACCATTGTCTGTACACTGTAGAGATAATTGTGGGTTCAAAACCTTATAGATTTGCAGCTTCTGAGCGACTCCGGCCAGCCTGTCTGGTACTAAATGTGACAATCAAAGTTTCTTAAACCTCCTTTCTTCTCCATTCTGATGCTCAGTTAGAACTTGTCAACACATCTAGATGTCTAAATATATTGAGCTGCAGCCATCTGATTGGCTGATTAGATGTTTGTGTTAACTAGCAACAACGGTAAATGATCTAGATAATTCTGTAGTACACGGAGCTCATCTGCCTTGTGTTTGCTTGCTTCAGGCCTCTTCCCATCTTTCCAATGCCTTCAGGTGTATTGGCACCTGATTTATGCTGCAGATGAAAACATTGATATAATTTATATTCTCCTTTGGCCTTTTGTTCTTCGTCAGTTCCATTTGCCGGTGCCCATCTCCGCCCACCCCAGCAAACGCAGCATGTTTAACTCCAGCTCTAATGCTGAAGCAGTGTCAGTGTGAATTAAAGCATCCTCGGGTGCCTGGTGACTTACAGGGACATCCACTGCAATGCCTGTAACTTATGATGCTTTGAAGTGTTTTTATGACCACGTTGGAAATGGTTGCACTCTCAGCAGAATTTGCTCATTCATTTCAAAACCATGGTAAAGGGTTAAAGGCCAGACGTTTTGTAGAGATTCATTTAAAAAAAGGTAAAACTCAGCTTCTAAATCCAGACTGAACTAGATGTTAATTGGCTTCTCTGGATGATCAAAAGCTGTATTTGGCCTAGAGACAGAAACCTCATCTTGACTAGAGGCAAAACAATCCTAATAGTCTTGGAAGAGCCTTCTCTGCAGGCGTTAATAGTTTGATCACACTACCTGCTTCTTTTCAGATGGAATCATCTGTTGGAGTTCAGGGAGCAACAGATACACACACACACACACACACACACACACACACACACACACACACACACACACACACACACACACACACACACACACACACACACACACACACACACACACACACACACATAGTTTGAGATGCCCTTTTTGGGAGCCACCTACCTGTCTTCTAGTATAATCCTAAGGCAGAAATACAAAGGTGACACTGATAACAAATAAATGGTCATTTGTTGTTTAACACTGATAGTAGAGCACAATCTGAACAAGAACATTTATGTAGTTGGATGTACACAATTAGATAATCAAGGTTAATTTACATGGTAAATATTTTACATGGAGTTCACCTCCTTAGTCCGTATCTCAGCTGGATTTGACAAAGCTGCACCTGTTATTTATTGAAATACTTATTTTAAGGATATTAATTCAAGAAAATCATAGTAAAATTCTAAATGAGAAACTCTGAAAAAGCCTTTTAACTGTGTGTATTGTGAGTGTGCTGACTAGTAAAAGGAAACAGAATCATTATTAATAACATTTTAGGGTTAGGGTTCTTATCAGCCCCCCACTGGGGTTATTACTGCTCTGAGCACATCCTTTTGGACAAAGAAACTCTCACAGACCTGAGAACAGAGCCATGACATGCTTCATCCTTGAGTTGAAGAAGATTCAGTTTCACTGAGAATCGTTCAATGATTTACTCGTGCAAATGAATGAGAACATTGTCTCTAAGCGACAAGCTGTTAGTTATGTGCCGTGTGCTTTGAGGACTCAAACATCAAAGTTAAGAAGCTTATTGAACAACAAAACATTGTCAATGTGGTCAGGTACAAAAACTAATCTGAAAACTGGAATAAAATTATGTCCTGATCCGCTTTCTTTTGAAGCAAAACACGAGTTGGGTTTCAGCACATTTGCACAGAATGTTCTTAGTTTTAAATTTGCATGGGTAAGCAGCCTAAACACTGTCTAAACCAGCTCACAAAGTGTTTCCTTCTTTATTCAGACATAGGGGTGTGTGTGCTAGTTCATGTTTGTGCACACTCCCAGCTCCCCTATAATTTGAACCCTGTAAACGGCTCATTTCTACCTTTGTTAGATTATGCTAATTATGGTCAAAAATCCCTGGGAGCACAACCTCCAGCAAAACAACAAGAACATCATCATCATCATCATAATAATACATTTTATTTCAAGCGCTTTTCAAATCTCTCAAGGTCACTGAACAAGACAAAATATAACAAGCTAGCAATACAAACAACAAGAAATAAATGCTAAGAGTGATTCCCAAGGGTAGAGTCGGAGCAGTGCAATGGATAATAGACTAAAAAGAGTAGACGGAAGGAGGACAGTTACAGTGAGTAAGCCAGGCGGAACATGTGAGTTTTGAGTTGAGACTTGAAGGTTGAGAAGGAGTTTATATTGCAGAGGTCAGGCGGTAGAGTGTTCCAGAGTTTTGGAGCTGAGTGGCTGAAAGCTCTGGCTCCCATAGTAGTGAGATGAGTGCGAGGAACAGACAGGGAAGGTGAAGATGATGATCGGAGAGAGCGAGTGGGAGTGACAATGTGGAGGAGATTAGAAAGATATGGGGGAGCGAGATTTTAGACGGCTTTAAAGGCATGAAGAAGTATCTTATAGTCAATTCTGTATTTGACAGGGAGCCAGTGAAGTTGTTGCAGGACAGGGGTAATGTGATCAAAAGTGAAGGTCTTGGTGATTATCCGGGCAGCTGAATTTTGGACTAACTGTAACTTGTTGAGTGATTTTAGAGGGAGACCAGAGAGGAGGGCATTACAGTAATCGATGCGACTGGTGACCAGGCTGTGGACCAAAATAGCAGTGGAGTGCTGACTGAGGGAGGGGCGGAGCCGATTGATATTGCGAAGATGAAAATAAGCAGTTTTTATTGTGTTGTTAATATGAGGAATGAAGGATAAGGTGTTGTCTAAGATGACACCCAAGCTCTTAGCTTTGGCGGTGGGGAGAAGTGTGGTGTTGTCGAAGCTGAGTGAGAATGAACTGGTCTTGGATAGAGATGACTTGGTGCCAGTGAGGAGGATCTCAGTCTTATTACTACTGAGCTGTAGAAAGTTAGAAGAAAACCAGGATTTGACTTCGGTGAGGCAACTGAGAAGGGAGGATGAAGGGAGCAGGGGGTTTGGTTGGGTAGAGAAGTAG